AGTCACAGGATTTTTTTTTTTAAATTTAAAGAAAAATTTATAAATCACACTGATTTTTTTCCTACTAGATCATGCATACACTTTTTATTTTATAACACTAATTCTAAATATAAGTAGTCTCTTAATAGTACTTTATAGTAAAGATTAAATATTGCTTAGTCTTCAAGGTCAACACCAAAAATGCCATCCTTCTCTTCCTCCATTAACTATAAAACTGCTTCTCTGACTCAAGTCTTCCTCTGAATGCACAACTGAAGCCCTTGATCCCTCTCTACCCAAAACAATTTGAATGACTGAGAGTACCAACTACCTCGTAATTTTGGATGCTGAAAAAAACACCATTGCAATGAAGTAAATTCTGATTCTGACTCACACGGATCCTACAGAACTGCCCCCAAAGGGTTTTCAAAGCTGTATACTTTTACAGAAGTAAACAACCACATCCGTCTATCAGGTAGAGTACAGTGGGACTGAACCATGGACTTTCTGGTTAGCATCTGAGAATGTAACCACTGTGGCATGACTCAAAACCAAACCAAATTCATTGCTGCCTCACTCATAATGACTTTCCATTAAGTTCCCAAAGCTGTATTTATTTATGGAAACGGACTACCTATCTTTCTCCTACAGAGTAGCTGTCAAACCGCTGACCTTATGATACCTTGCCAATCACACCACAAGGGTTCCTTAATTTCCATTACTTTAACGTTATGAAGTGAATGGCTCTAACACCCATGTCTTAGCTCAAGCTAGAAAACTGAACATAATTCTTGAGCACATTCCTCCCTCACGATCTTTCAATCGACTAGTCCTGTGGATTTTATCTCCACTTCCACTTCCATCATCCTGGTTTAGCCATCATCATCATTTATAGCCCCAAATATGCAAAATTAGTCTCTGTTTCATTTTAAACCCAAGAGAACAATCTCCTGACAATGCAGACTAAATGATCTTTATTAAAGCTCAGATTCAATTTGGTCTGTCCTCATTTTTAATATTTTAAAAGATCCCTTTGCTATCAAGACTAAGGCTACCAAGATTCAACAGTTAACTAAAGTCCAATTGTGTGTTCAGCACTTTGTTAAGCACTTTAAGTACAGCTACATCTTTCCCAACCCATATTAAAAAAAAAAAAAAAGGAAACAGAAGAAGGTTCAATAAGATTAACTAATTTGCCCAAGTAAATTTCAGAGATCTGATCTGACCTAAGGGACGTGTCAACTGAGACCTGTGATCCAAATCCCCAGGCAGTAAGGAACAGTACAGTAGTAACAGTTGTGTGAAATGAATTCAAATTATCTCCCCACATTGCACTCTATGTAATAGTGCTTAGTTCTAACCATCCCAAATACTGTTGCCTTCTTTTCATACTCTCTCAGCCCTAAAAGCCCAGCTCTCCTAATTTCATTTTACTTGGATTCCCAGGAATAAACTCTCATCCATGGGCCAATATGCAATATTATGAAAAATAGAGAAAAGACTGACATTTTAAACTATTTCATCTTGCTTGGATCCCCAATCAACACCACCTTCGGTTCCAGCAGTCAAGAAATCAAAAGTGTTGCACTGGGAAAAACTACTGTCAAGGAACCCCTCCAAAGTTCTAATGAGCAATGATGTTAATTTAAAGACTATGATACAACTGATTAAAGCCATGGTCTATTCAATCACTTGCTATGTATCTGAAAGTTAGACAATGAATAAAGATGACAAAAGAGTCGATTCTTTTGAGGTGTGGTGTTGGAGAAGAGTTAATGCATATCTCATGGAATGCCAAGAGAACAAACAAGTTTTGCAACTAGGATGCTCCTGCGAGCTACGATGGTGAAGCTTCATCTCACATACTTTGGACATGTGCTTAAGAGGGGCTGGTTCTTGGAAAAGGATGTCATGCTTAGAAAGTTGGAGGTCTTCAAAGGAGAGAAAGACCCTCAATGAGATGGACACAATGACTTTAACAGTGGGTTCTAGTGGGGTGAAGATGGCGAGGTGGCGCAGGATAGGCAAGATTCAGATCTGTTTTTAATAGGGTATATATGAGTTGTAGTCCACTTGACAGCACCTAACAACAACATGGTTTGGTTTAAGTTTTTGTAACCTAGATACGAGCTGTAGAATAACATTTATTATGTCACCAGATATTTGTGGTGATTATTATACACAAAATTCCTTACTTTTTTCATTTATTCATACATATATATATATATATATATATATATATATATATATATGAAAAATCACACCATGTAACTGCATGTCCTGGAGCACTGTGTTAAATGTATGAGAACCCAACAGTGAATGAAACAATATATGAAAACTGGCTGTGTGTTATCAAGTCAGTTCTGATTCGGAGTGACATCCTATGAACAGAATGGAAGCCCCATAGTTTTCTATGCTATAATTTTTATGGGAACATATCAGGTGCAAAGCTCCTGCAGAGCTGCTGGGTAGGTTTGAACCACCAGTCTCTCGGTTAAGTAGCTGAATACTTAGTTAAGATTGAAAGTGAAGAGCACTTGAAACATCTGCTGCAGAATCTCAAGGAGTACAGACTTCAATATAGATTACTTCTCAGCATTAAGGGGGGGGGGGAATCCTCAACACCGGCCAACAATTTCATCTGAAGCAAGCAAGGTTGTATTGTCTGCATAATGCATGCTGCTGAGGAGTCTTCCAATCGAGATGTCAATGGCATTTTTTTTTTTATCCTGTCAACACTATCCATTTAAAACTGTAAGCATTTATAGATCTGACAGAATCTTTATCTGTATTGATGGTATTCTTGTAAGGAAAGTTTGTTGTGTATGCTGACTTCATGTACTGTACTGTTCTATGGTTCTTAACAAAACTTTTTATCCTAAAAAAAAAAAAAATAAAATTTCAGAGCTCTTCAGCTAGGGCTAAGAGCCAGGAGAGGGGGCTGTAACAGTTTGAAAAACAAAAAACAGTACTATCTAAAAATCCTATAAAAACACAACAATCCCCGCCCCCCCCAAAAAAAACCAAAAAAACAAAACCACCCCACTACCAAATCAAACCAACCTGTTACTGGTTTCATACTCATGGATTTTGTAACTGTTTTAAATAAAGATAACAATTCACTTTGCCTTATTTGTCATATAATTGATGTTGGTGGTGGCAATACAAAATGTCTCAACTAATATAAAAGAAGCAATTTTTATACAGGGAAACTATTCTAGAAAAGTATGCTATCATCCTTTCTGCTTATTATGTTAATTACTATGTGCCGTCGAGTCACTTGCGACTCATAGCGACCCTATGTACAACAGCCCTAAACTCTGCTCTGTCCTGTGCCAATCGCAGCATCTCCGATATACACATCCCGATTACCCTGGTCACTGAATCAATCCATCTCATAGAGGGCCTTCCTCTCCTGCGCTGTCCCTCCACCCTACCAAGCATGATGTCCCTCTCCAAGTACCGGCTTACTATAAAGTATCAAGATATTTATCAGAAAAAGATTCGTACCAAAGAGGCTTTTAATGACAGATAAATAAGTTACTCAAGTGAAGTTAAATGATCACTGAATAACAAGAGGCCTAGCAATCTGTTTTTCTAAAAATCATAGCCAAAAAATTCCTATGGAGTAGTTCTACTCTGTTACGTGAGTAGGAATCGACTTCAGTGCACCGAGGTTGGGACTTCAGGGGACCGCAGCAGAGTAAACCACATGAATTAGAGTGTTGCACCGCCGACCTGGCTGACCCTGCCCAGTTACGAAGATAAACTACAAAACTCAGCATGCAATGCTCCACGTGAGGCTAAGGAGTCCAGCGAGCAGCTTCGCAATGCATTCTGGGATTTGTAGTAAATGACCCAACTCAGACAAATTGTCTTGCTACTTACCAGACCCAGCCACTACCAAGAGACTGAGAGACTCACGGGGCACAACGACTCGACGATGAAGCACCACCCAAAGCCGCAGTGCTAAGAAGATGGCCACAGTTCCTCCTCCCAGCACTGCTAGATTAAAGACCCACTCCATTTAAAAAAAAAAAGGCACACGCATACTACTTCCTAGAGCCAAAGCTGACGTATAAAATCCAAAATGTACGGTGGCCGAGGAGGCATAAACTCTTGCGTGATGGCGGAGTGATTTTGCACGATCTGGGCGGAGTTAAACTTCACAAACGAAAGACCTGCTTCCGCGGGGTTTTTGGCTGTCGTGAGAAAATTCCGTGCGGCTGCAGAGATGTGCGAGTTTAAGCCGAAGTGATGTGACAATTTAAGCCGAGGTGCAAGAGTTTAGTAGAGGAGAAGAGTTCTCTGTGCAACCAAAAAGTCTCAAAGTTCTCAAGTGAGGCACCATTTCAGCTCTACCAATTTTATGTGTTCAACCAAGCAAAGGCATGTGGTTCGAGTCCTCCAGATTCTTAAAAGGAAGGAGAACTATAAACAGTCTCCTCTCTAGTGATTTACAGCCTCTGAAAACTTCCCTGGAATGTCAACTATGTTCCAAAATGAAAGCAAGAAATGGAATTGTTTTGGCTGACTTGGCACTAAAAACTTACATCACTTAAAAAAAAAAAAACAGGCTAGGAAAATGTTTCTGACACAAACATACAAGAAATTTTTTTTCCAGTGAAAATAGCGTGGGTCCAAAAAAAATTGAACATTAAGTCTCTTACTCCTTGGAAAAAATGACTCAGATAATGTCCTTGATTCAGGCCATGCATGGTATCTTAAATCACTTGCTAAGCATCTGAGAGCTGAACAATGAACAAGGATGATAAAAGAATTGATGCCTTTGAGCAGTGATGTTGAAGAGCACTGAACATCCCATGGACGGCCAAGAGGACAGTTTTGTTTTAGAAAGGGTGCATTCAAAATGCTCTTTGGAAGCAAGAATGATGAGGCTTCACCTCACATACTTTGGGCATGTTGCTAGGAGGGGCTATTCATTGGAGAAGGACATAAAGCTGGGGATGGTGGAGGGTCTGTGAAGGAAAGGAAGACCTTCAACCAGATGGATTGATGCGGTGACTGCTGCAGTGGGTTATTGTGTGTCAGGAAGTGTGAGAACGGCGCGGAATAGAGGATTCAGATTTTTCCTTCATAGGGTCCCTATGAGTTGTAATGGACTCAACGGCACCTAACAACAATTGATAGTCAATTTTGCCACGTTTTTCTTCATGCCCTCAACCAAAATTATAATCTGCTAACACCTCCCTAAATCCTGGTTTCATTATTTTAATCTATATTTAATCTACATTCTGTAATATAAAAATATTAAGACTGGAAAAGTCTTTTCATCTCAAGTGCAGTTTGCTTTCAGCTCCCCAGAGACTCGAGTAAACCATGACACAACTTGTCCAAATGAAATAATGCCAGATCTAGAGTAAAAAACTAAGGAGCTCTGGTGGCTTCTTGTCAAGTTTACTGTCGAGTCAGACTGAACTGTAGCTGATCCTCTGGCAAGTTTTCAGAGGCAATAAATCACCTGGGAAGAGATAGCCCGTTCTTCTGTGGCATTCTCAGTTGGTGGATTAGAATGGTGCAACCCCTGTGGAAAGCAGTATGGCGCTTTCTCAAAAAGTTGCAAATAGAGATACCATTTGACC